AAGTCATAAGTGCGCACTAGGTGGTACCTTGTGGGTCGTAATCCAAGTTGCTAATCATGGATTACTTGTAACTTGAGAATTAATGCTTGTTTGGGGTAATTGAATACTATTTAGTATACTTGAACTTGTATACTTGTTCTGTGAGTTTTAATTGCATGTGGTATACTTGTGACGTGTATACTTGTCTCATGCGCAATCATTTTTGCTTAGTATACTTGTGGTTGTGTACTTGATTCATGAAATTTCCATATTAATGTATACTTGTGTAGATATGCTTAGGCATTGCATGACTTGTCTTAATATGGTTTAGTATACTTGGAGATGTATGCTTATATGTCGCATAACATGTTTCTATATTGTTTAGTATATTTGAGCATATATACTTGTATGTCGTTGTTCGCTTTGAATTGCATGAGTAGCTTAGGATGCTCCCTAAGTCTCACTTGATATAGACGTTAGGTGGCATGAGCCCCTTTAACATGTTTCACCTTAAGGTGATAGAATTGTAAAATGCTAGGTCAATGCATGTTCATTTCCTACGAGTAGCTTTATGTTACTAACCCACGTAGTGGGGACATTTTTCAGGTACAGGAATCAAGATTCAAGATGCTCATTATGCTTGGATGATTCTATACTTGAAGGTTTTTAACTCTTGTAAAGATTGGCTTGGAATGCCACTTATAGTCTTTTATGTCAAAAATGTATATATTTGATTCCATATATGTAATGTGTACATGAGTACACTCTTTACAATGTATTTGACATGTATGAGATGATGCCGGAGGCCAATAACATGTATTTCATATACTATGTAATTTTTGACTTCATGGAATATTATGAAAATATTGAAAATTATTGAGTTTTTGTTTCACCATGTTTGCATTGGGTGTAGGAATTCCATTTTGATTCTTCCATAGGATCTCAATAGTCATGTATGAAGTGTGGCCAAGGGCCAAATGGTCATTTGAAGTCATTTGTTGATTTTAGTTTTCAAAGTTTCAATTTTAGATTCATTTTCGCCTTTTTGGCCGTTTGGGGGTCGGATTTTGACTCGGCCATTTTCGGGAACCATGGACCATTCCCACATGCTCAAAATCACCTATTATGTGTGCGTACCTATTCGTTTCAACTTAGAAGTGCATTTGGGGTCAAATGTATGATTGGTGCAAAGTTGCATTTTCACCGTTTTGAGCCTAAACTGATTTAAGGGAGATTTGGGGATTTCCTTTGGGAAATAAATTCCGTTCTCAACTCTGTCACATAGAAAATGTGATTTTAGGGGGAGTTTCCTTTTCATGTTTTTCCGAAAAATGTCATCTTGACCTCATAAATCGCGCTCCAAACTCAAAAATCTGCTAAGAACACTGTTCCTGCAATTTTTGAAGTTCCAGACCACCCCTCTGCCTCATTTGGTGGGCCCCCGCAGTGTTCTGGAGGGCACCCGCAAGAATCTACCGTGTTTGGTGGGCCCCCGCGGGTTTTGGGCGGGCGCCCGCGAACATTGTTCCTACTCCAGACATTTTTTTTCAATGGGCCATATCTCACTCGTTTTAACTCCGAATTGGTCTGTTCTTGAGTCTAAATTGACCGCGTTGAAATGAGCTTTCCAATGGTACCAATTACAGCTTCAGATTCCTCTTGTAGCTCAATATATTCAAGTTTTAGTAAGATAGTGTCAGAATTTGGTTTAAACCGGGATAGGGTTTCCCTTCCTTCTACTTCAGGACTTGATATCTTTTCCGCCCGAACTCCGAATCAGGTGATTCTTGAGTCTAACTTCATTAATTTTTTGTTATCTTTCCAATGGTATTATTTTCAGTTTCAGAATTTTCTCATAGCTCAGGATATCCTTGTTTTAGTGAGAGGGTGTCGGATTTGGTTTGAACCGAGATAGGGTTCATCTGGGATTTCTCTTCCTTTGGCCTTGGGACTTCATGTGAAGTTACTAAAGGGTGTTTTAGGATGTTTTAGATCTAATTTGACTTGTTGAAAGTTAAATTCCTTCCTCTTAGGGTAAAATGAACATTTTACCCTTGGCTCTTCTCTTGTAGGGTTTTGATGCCCTTCTCATCATTTTGTTTCCGTTGAGTCTCGAAACTCTTTGAGAGTCCATTCTTGTGCCTTAGGGATGACGTACATCTCTAAGGACTTGTCTTTGTCTTACTTCCGCACTTTATTCATTTGAATTCTGTGGCTTCATAGGGAGTCATCGTGGTACCTAGGGATGGCGTACATCTCTTGAGGCCCTTTTGTTTCTTTTGCTTCCGCATCTTGGATCCAGTTCGGTTCATCACAGGACACACTGGGTTGAAAAATACAGGGTCGTTACAGTTAGGCACAAATACTATACTAACACTACCTCTTTCTCACACACACACATACATCACACCCCTCCACTTGTCATGATCCTAGGCCTCCTCACAAGGTTGAATCTCCACCCTACACATGTCATCATCCTAAGCTTCCAAGTGTTCCAACCAAAAGTCAACAAGTGGACCAAGGAAAAGGTGACACTTATCACACTTTTTTAAAAATTACAAAATGGTCCCTCTTCTAAATATCTCACAAGAATAATTGCAAAAAGGTCTCCAAGACAAAATATCTCAAAAAGTTAATTATACATAGAACCCCGAAAAATAAAAATGTTTCCGAAGAAACTATACATTTGTACCCTTATGAAATGAAATTAAACAAGCATGCTTTTCTACACAATTAATTTGGGAATTAACAATAAATTAAATTAAAGTGAATCCATGCGATGTCGGAAAACACTTTCGAACACAAAACCCTAAGTCAAAAAGAAAAGAAATGGACGAATAAATAATTAAATAAATACATAATGAATGTCGAAAAAAAAGGACAAAGATGACATGGTCATCACAAATTTGTTAACCAACCTTGAGAAACAGCTATCCAATTTCACGGAAATTTGTACCTTTGCTTAAAGTCTAGCACAATATATTTGTCAATATAACATATTTCGACCATAATCAATATATATTTTCCTTCTTCTTCTTTTTTTCTTTTTTTTTTTTTTTTTTTTGTAATAAATCTTTACACTTTTTGAATTGTGTGTGTGTGTATATATATATACACACACACATATATGGTACCTTCTTTTGGAATATTTTATTTTTCTTTTTTGCTTCGTGTATTTGGCTGTAATGGGTCATTCTCTTCTGTTTTTTTTTTTGGAATATACTGTGGATTAGACTTGGAATTTTTGACAAAGGAAAGGGATGTTTTCAAAAATGTATAAATCATTATGTGTTTTGATGAGGTATGTATTCTAAAGTGATTTAATGAGATGTTATTAGATCTTTGGTATGGATGTGATTTAACGAGACTTTTCTAGATATTTTATATTTCAAAAAACTAAAAAATATTAAGAAATGAGAGAAGAGGCTTACACTTTTAGAGTATTAATTATAGATATGTATATTTGCATAAGTTTGCAGATGCCTCGATAGCAAAGTGGGTTAGTATCATTTTGGAGTTTACCTTGTAAAAAAAAAAAAATTTTGTTTTAGGATTTTGCAGTTTGCCTTGTATAAGTTTGTTTTAGGGTTTCTTTTGGAATAATTTAAAAATAAAACTTTATTTAATAACAAATAAAAAGAAAAGGTTATATATATATATATATATATATATATATATATATATATATATATATATATATATATATTCTAAAGTAAATAAGGTAAGTTTTATTTTTGTTGTATTAAAATTGAAAGCACACAAAAATTTCTAAGATAAAATTGATGATTTCAAACAGGAAAAAGAACAAATGTTATTTGCATATTTTTTTTTTTTTTCAAAAAAAATAAATAAATAAATGAGAGAAAAAAGAGGGAAAACCTAGGTTCAACAGATTAGCCCGTCCGACCTGAAATATTCAAGGTTGGAATATTGTCATAGGCCGACCCGACTCAACCTGACTTCAGATTAAAGTTGGATTGGAACCGAACTGAGCTGGGCCTGCCTAACTTCTACCCCTAGATATCACTATAATTAACCATGAATAATCGAAGGTTTTAGATCCCGTAAGATCACATCTTACTATAATTTATATAGTCTATAAATGGGGCCACATTATCCAAATATCAAATAATCTCTCACATCCTCGTAATGTTGGCTCATACGGTGAAAAAGTAGATAACCAAAATATAAAAATACCCAGTAACCACAATACTATATCCAAAGTTTCAAAAACATCTAACAAAAGCCAAACTCCATACTCCTCCAATCAAAGAACAATAACCTCTATATACAAACAAGTTTAAACATGTGTGGGAATTTGGAGATTAATTGATCTCCACATTCTTAGCAAATTCCCTTTGATGGCTTCAAGAATCCAAAAAAATTGCTTCAAAATCAAGTTTCATTACTATGAATCTAGAAAGCATGGACACGATGAGTATCATATTAGAGTTTATTGGCAAATAAAAATCACAAAGTTGTAAATAATCAAAAGAGCATAGATATAGTGTCTCCCCTTTGTCAATGATCATAATTGTCAAAATAACACATGTGAAGGTTAATTTTGTCCATTAAAATACTTAAAGAAGGTTAAAATCGTAAATACATCATTCAAATAAATTAATTCATAAGTGAAATGATAATAAAATACTTTTATCTTGATTTGTGGTTTCATTGTTCAATTTTGCAAACTAAAAAAGTGCCATTGTTCAAAAAGTACCTAAATTGTATTCACATTTTAACAACACAAATTGAAAATTGAATGTTTGCACTACATACACTTTCATTCTGCTTAGATTCTTGAACTCTAACTGTGTATACAACACTAGCACAATAATCATGTTAAATATTGCAACAATCATCAAAATGCACTTTCAACGGTCCAACTTTTCTTTGGTCAAATTAGACTAGTTTTGAGTTTTTGTTCGCCAATTCCCAAGTAATGAAAACTTGTTATAATTTGTATGTAGTAACCACTCTTTCTCAATCCATACAAGTTTGATCAATCTAGAAGGCACAAGTTAGAAAAGATAAAGATTATTACCAACAAGCAAATAATACGACAATCACGATCTATATGAGTATTTAGGCCTATGCTGTAAGTCATTTTTGTCAAAAATATACAAAAAGTGTAAAGACCGTTTTCTTGTAGAGAATGGTGCACAAATTTGATGCACTATAGAATTGCACTTGCACAGTGTTGGAAGAAAATAGAAAAATCGTACTCTAGAGATTTTATACAAACAATTAAACCATGTCAATAAACTCCCAATCGACGACTTGCAATCTTTCTCGGCAATAACCAGGCATATGAAATCGTATTCTCTTCTGAATATCATCATCTTTGAGTCGTTGATCATACCGTTGATCATTTTCCAGCTAAATCGACTTTCGGTTGTATAACTAAATATGCTAATCGATTGGCAACTTCATTTCCCGTCGGATATACGAACTCTACCATATACTTGTTGAATAGGGCTAGCAAATCAAAAATATCCCTGCATAACAATAATTTTTACACAAAAGCGAAAACTTAAATCTAAATTTAAAGTATAAATAATTTTAAAGCATAAATAATTGAAATCTAACCTATAAAGTTGCGAATACTCTTGTGGTACATGCTTGTTACGCCTTAGCACTTCAATAACATTCTTATCAAAACACTCCAATATTATATTCTCCACGTACGTGCCATGTTGCAACACTTCATCAAAATACGACAAATGCCAACTAATAATACTTCATTTCTAGAAGCCAGATTTGGAATAGAAATCAAATGCATTGTTGTAACAAGTCCTCGGAGGACTCCTCCAGTACTTCCTCTTATGGTACCATCACTCTCTTTGTTTACAAAGACATCAATATTCAGCTTGTACCATCCCTTGGGTGGAGCTATCCAAATAAAAACTATCACAGGGTGTTTCAGCATTGACCCAATAGATTTGTCCAAAACGCGAATACGTTCCTTAAGCAAATTCGAATACATCATACCTCTTTGCCTTACTGCGCATCCACATAAAGTCGATAACAGTAATGTATTTGAATTGGGAAGGCTTAGCCAAATCAACATTACCATACTGCATCGACCCTTCTCTTAAACTTTTGTTCAACCCTTGTTTATAGAACCGTCTGTAAAATCTTTACGAAGTCTGCCATTTAATGATCAAACACAAATTGGGAATTATGCCAGGGCTAGAGAAAGAAAATCACAAAAAGATGTTAAACTTACAATTGCGTTGAAGTTTGGAAACATCCATGTTCTGATGTAATGACCAAACACGCCAGGATGAACGATTCCTAAGGAGGCATAATATAAAAACATCATTGAAGGCAAAAATATAGTAACAAATAGCAACGAATATATAAAATATTTTAATCACATCAAGCCAAAATCTTCCTTGCTTATTTTAAAGTATCAGGTACAAAAATAGAAATGTTAATAAAAATTCCTTAAAGAGGTAAAATATAATCAAACTAATTTAAATCTTTGACAACATTTCAAGCTGTGAACAATATGCTTCCATTATGTACTTGTGTCTTATTTCTCAGAACTAGCACCAAAACAAAATTTAGTATGGAATCTGTTTTCGGGAATGAAAACAATAACTGACTGAAATTTGACCCTTGCAGCTGGGCATTAGTACTCTAGAGTATGGATGAGAAGTAATGTAACTCCTTGACTTCTCAAGAACCTAACATGTCTTGCTACAGTCCCATCTCTTATTGCAATACAAAGTCACTTCCCAAATTTTATAATATTAATTAAACTTTTGCAATCCTTCTCTAAAACTATCAAAAAGTTGCAGTAAATCCATTTGGGTAATGACTCCCTTACCATCTACATAAATTTATCAAAATGACAATAACCTTGTTTAAATAAAAATAAATAAAATAGAATAAATAATAAATACAAAATAACTTACTCTTTTTTCTGGCTCTACTCAATCCAAATTGTTTCTTCTTTGAAAGAATAAAACCTATATTAAAAGGGCAAAATTTAAACTAAATTTAAAAACATAGACTTAAATATTTAATTAGAAGCATTTTCATTCACATCTTAAAAAAAAAAAAAAAAAAGAAAGATGCAAAACATGAATAAAATAATATATGAGCAAAGATTTAATAGAAAGAAGAAGAACAAGAGGAGTTAGGTACCTAATGATTGAGGAGGCATGATCTGATATTTAGGGTAGAGAGAGAGAGTGGTGCCTTCAAAATCAGTTGACGGAGAGATGTATAAGGTTACAACAAAGATGGAGATGTGTCATGGAGATAAAAGGTGTAAAAACAGGGCCGAGAAGCCCTAGGCGAACTTTCAAATGTGAGGCCTTAAGTTTCACACGCACAAAAAAGAATTATAAGAGTGCAAAATTTTAACACGATGTTTTCAAATTCTATAGCTAATACAATTGTGCCCTTGTGCATTGTGCAAAAGACAACTAACTAATAACTATAAATTTATCACCACCAACAAATAATTGTGCGCCAGTATAGTGTGCATAAGACAGTTAACTAATAACTAGAAATCTATCACCACCAATAAATAATTGTGCTCATGTGTTGTGTGTTTAAGACAATAAACTAATAACTATAAATTTTTATCACCACCAATAAATAATTGTGCGCGTGTGCAATGTGCATAAGACAACTAACTAATAACAATAAATTTATCAATTAAAGAGTGCAAAATTTTCACAAGCGCAAAATAAAAAAATGAAGAGAACAGTTAAATGGAGAACAAAAAACTGCAGCTTCTTTTACATTCATTGTTTATATAGCTACTAAAATTTGATGATTACAAACTTGTAATACTGAAGAAGTAGGGGGACTATTAGGTTATATGTGGCCTCCACTATCATATATAGTGGAGGCCACAAATATTAATTTTTTTGGGAGCCAATAACTCGCAGTGATTAATTGATCAATGCTACAGAAGACCTGCGCAAATTAATAGAAAAAACCATTAACTTTTATTTTGTTAAAGCCTGCTCTTGATTTCCATGTTTTTGTACATTCTGATGGCAAGTGCTTTGACAATATTATTAACTGAAATTCTAGCTGAGCCAACTTCAAATAACATCAATAATGGTGGTATATATGTATCTTCATATAACAATAAAATAAAAATAAAAATAAAAATAAAAATACCCTTAATTTGGTACTTTTAATTATGAGCATAATTTAGAGATTGAAAAAGTTAATTATTACCTCAATCCACTAGAAGGGATCCTTAATTTTCGTGGGATTGAATGTGAAAATGCAAAAAATTATGAGGAAAAGGGGTATGGCTGCTGCTGTTGTGAGATTGGAGTGGACTTAGGGAGGGGGGAAAAAAAAAAAGTACCTGCCATAGATTATGGACTCGATCGCCATGAAAGATACATGTAGAAAGGCACACATTTATTAAAATACTAAGAGAACCATAGTATATTCATTCAGCTTTTGATAGCCATCACACACACAGTGACACACAAAACCCTAGCTACTTTTCACTATTGGAAGGCCCGAATCAAACGAACCAAAGTTAGAACAAATCAAATGATGAGATGAACGAAAGAAAGAAACATATATAAAAGATCGATTCATGCAAAAGGAGAGAGAAGAGAAGAGAAGAGAAGAGAGAGAGAGAGGATGGACATACCTTGTCACCTGAGGCGATAGCGGAGGCTGCGCCCTGCGGAGTGTCGAAGCAGATTGAGTCGTCTGAAACTTGCCCTAACTTATTTTTTATTTTTATTTTTTTTCCAACCCCTACTGAGGCCCTCTAAAATCTAAGGCCCAAGGCGGCCACGGCCGGCCCTGTGTAAAAAAAATGTACTAAGTGTGTGAGAAATGGAGAAGATGAGAGTGAGAGAGGACCGTAAATTGATGGAGAGAGAGAGAGAGAGAGAGAGAGAGAGATCGGGTAAGATTATCTAAGAACAGTCCGTGAACTGATGCACACATACATATATATATATATTTTGTATTCATCCAAAACATTGTTTACTTTTTGAAAAGGTCGTTTTAAAAATAAAAAATGCCAGCTATCATGAAAATGACGATGCGTGGGGTTTGGGTCAGATTTACTGTACTCCATCAGACAACTGGCGAAAGTGAATAAAAGCACTATTTTTACTGTATAAAAGCACTATACAGTCCTTCAACTGCTACGCGATATTTCCCATGCATTTTGATTTCATGACTTGATATCCCTACCACATATATATATATATATAGCTTATCCCTACCATTTAGATTTCTTCTTCTTAAATTTCCAATAGCGGCCGAATATCCCATGTGGCATCATCCATCTTTTATTTCAAAATATATGTATTTAGAGGTGGAAAATTTCAGAAGAAGACAATGCAATAAATATAAATAACTGAAAACAGCCTGGCACAAGCTCTGTATCCCAGTTCTCTTTATTATCGAAGAAGATGATAACTACTGCAATAATACGTCACTCTCAAACTTTAACGCCGTGGAACCACCTCTGATCAATTTGATTCGGCACCTGAATACAGGATAAGTGCAAAAAAAGGCTCTCGAATATTTTTTATAATATTTTTATTTTTTATTTAAAAAAGTGTGTAATAAATATTTTTAACCTTTTGGTATTGTGCAAAATTACTCATTTGTCATAAATCTGACATAAATTAATATTATAATACCTATTTTATCCTTTTTATTCTTTCTAAAATACCCATGCAATTATCTCTCCACTGCAATTATCCTATGCCGTCAGTGCTCGTCGTCTCCACCAAACCGAAAATTTCAGTATCAGTCACCTGCCTTGTTGCAAATAAATCTAATTGGTTCAATTTACTCTCCAATAGAAGACGAAATATAATGAGTTGTTTGCTAAACCAGCCTTGTTGTAATATCCAGTTTGGAATGTGCTGTTTGCTAAACCGCATCTAAGTGTTGGCAGCTTTTCTTCTGTCAGTTCTCTGAGATCCAATTTTCTTATCTCTGTTTTTGCTAATACACACTCATAGATTCATTAGCACGATTTAATAATAATAATAATATCAAAGAAAGCCGCACATTAACTTCACAAACCAAGTTAATTATGAATCAAAAAAGAACTGATTGACTTGCACATTAATGATTCTAAGAATGGTGTTTGGAATTGAAATTGTAAAAAAATATCACTTTTGAAAGGCATTAAACATCTATAGATAACTAAGCTATGTTTCTTGATAGAAACACAAGAAAAGCATAGAACCAATTCATGCGTTCCATAAAAACAGAGCTCAAAAACAAAAAAAAATGCAAAAATAAAAAAAATAAAAAAGAAATAAAAAAAACCCACATTTCAGGCAATAAAAAAGGAAGTTAAATTTGATTACTGTACAAGGACGAGCCGGCCTAATCCTCCCCAACCCTCTCCTCCCTCTCCAAATCCCCTTCCAGCCTTAGGCACCGTCACGACAAGCTCACCTTTGGCACTGACAGCACTGGCTAACTCCAGCTTCGCTGACGCCGAAAGCTGATACCTCCACGCATCCACCACCAGCTCATTCAACAACAATTCGACCCCGTCGCCACCGCCTTTGACCATAATCTTGGTCACGCCGGGGTGAATTTCGATGGCATGGGCCCTCACGTCATTTCCGAAGGCGGCGCCATTTCTGAAGGTGAATTTCAACCATTCTTTAAAATTGCTGCTACAAACAGCAAAAGAAGCCTTTTCTTCTTACCCTTTCCACCTCTTTGGACTTTTTATAAAGTCAATATCATCATCACAAAGAAGAACCAGTCTTGTGTGGGGGAGCAGGAAGAGGAGGCGGCGGCAGAGTTGAAGAGATGATAAGGGAAAAACATTGTCCTTTTTCGGTCTTTTTACAAAAAAAAAAAATGTATTTTTCTATATTTTATAAAATTATTTAATAAGGGTAATTTGGTCAATATAGATTTTAAATGTGTCAGGGGGACCGAATTGCACCAAATTAAAACTTGAGGGGTGTTTTTTGCACGTGAGGATGTGATATGCACTGTAAGCATACTTCAAGGGTGTTTTTTGCACTAAACCCATTTATATATATATATATATATATATATATATATATATATAGCATCAAGAAATATTAATAGTACCATTGCAACAGAGTTTGCTTTGACAAATAACAATCCTTCTTGTTCCTTCTATCTTCGTTAAAGCTTCATTAATTCCAGCCTGATGAGATGTAAACTTAATTAAATTTGTAGGTTTAGTAATCCCCATAGTTTTGTTTAGGTGTTCAACAATTAGGAGGATCAATTCCAGACTGAAAACCCAAAACATGATCATAAATGTGGAGATCTAATTTATGAAGACTAATGGGATTTCCATCCTATCGAGCTATCAACGTTAAACTTAGCCATCTTTAGGGAGCACCGAGCTTCCTAAACTTCTTCATTTTCTTTTCTTTTATTCAAAAAAAAAAATTCAAAAATACGATTTTTGCTTAAGTATGATCCCAAAATTTAACATTTTTGCAAAAATGTTCCAATTTCATTTTTTGGTCATACAAAGTGTCTAGGACATAAAATAGGTTCCCTTGAAAAATTCAAAAATTTTCAGATCCGTCACGGTTTCCAAAATAAAATAAAATAAAATAAAAACAGATTCTGGCCAAATTTGCACCATTTTTGGCGCAAAGCGAGACAATGAGGTAAACTCTGCCTCATACTCCGTAACGCTCACCATCTCCTGAATTAGTGCAATGAACATCCTCCTTAACTCCTTTCTATCCGTCACTGGAAAATACTTGTCAAGAAACAATTCCTGAAAAGTCTCCAAGTCCAATCCCTTAATGACACGAGTACTGGTGATCGATTTCCACCAACACTCGCTACACCTCTGAGCTGTGAAATAGTAAGCCTAATTTTCGTGTCTCCATCTTCAATCTACAACATCCCAAACGCCCTTGAGATTTGATCCACCCACTGGATCGCCTCCAAGGAACCCGATTCACCCACATACAAAGGAGGCTTTGACTCTAAGAAGCCAAGCAAAGTGATCCAAGCCCTATCCTTAGCAATATCTCCCGTTAACTCGTACTCATTATTCATCATATCTACACTCTATAATGAAACAAGAGCGAGTGATTAATCACACCCATGAAATTAATTACTCAACTTGTACACCATTACCATCCCATGACATCAAAACCACTAAACCATCAAAATAGACAAAAAGGTTCCCACCGTGGAGACCTTGCAAAACAAATCCCTCATACCCTAGGGAGAAATCCTAACTAACAAAAATGCATCTAAGGATACTACGAACCCCAAGAAACAATGTCTTATCATCTCTCTTACCCAACCGAGCATGAACAATGCACAAGGTCAACACAGACACATAACACTTAATCATAACACTTAACAGTTAGCATACATCATAAGGCATAAAACACGTAACATGCAATGGCCAAAACTATCAACTAACATACTTTGGTAAAAGGTCAACTCAAGATTCTAAGTATCTAACCAACTTGTATATAATCATGTTAAACGTACCCATGCTTAACATAACGACTAGTATATGATATATGTTAGGCCATACACGTAAACATAACAACTAGCATGCTCCAAGAAATATATGTGCATCTAACCATGCATGAAACTTGAAATGAGAAGCTCCTTGTTCCTTAAACACTCTATCAACCGTGTAAGTCAAAGACACGATGAGTGATGAGGAAGGATGATTAATCACTTCCAAGCACTCGTGACCACATGCAACTCACTCAATGAAGGTATTTAACGTAAGACATGATAATGTAAGCAACATATAGATCATGCTAATACAGTTAAGGAATGCATCTAAACACTTAAGCACATAAGCACGTAAAAATTTGAACCCATCCAAGCATGTCAACAAGAAGCATGAAATGAATCCAAAACCCGTTGTCCTAGGGTATTCGAACTCAGACGCTCTGATACCACTTGTGACAGCCCGAATTTTAAAGAACCCGGTGCGTTAGTGAGTAACCCGAAAATTGACCCGATAACAAGTCTGAAATGCGAAAGTAAGAAAAAGAGAAGAGGTATCTAGAGATGGACACCACCTCTAAGACGCCAAAGTGACTTCCCGAGAAGTCACGAGACTAAAAAAGAAACAAATGCGAAAGCTAAGGTTTAGAACGAACAAGGATGCCACTAGGGGTAAAATGGTCATCTCAAACAGAAATGGATGCCACCATGCATAATATTGGATAGCCAATGAAAAATTAATAAACTTAGACTTAAAAATTACTTGATTTGGAGTTAGAACGAAAAAGATATGAAATTCCGAAGTTTTACAAAAAATTGTTAAAAATGTGCACAGGTGCGATCGGTCATAAAATAACGAACGATGAAGGCAAAATAAAATGGTTCCAGGTGCGATCGGTCATAAAGGTCAAAATTTTGGCCTAAAAATGATGTGCCTAGGTGCGATCGATTGTCAGGAAAACGACCAATGGAAATCACTGAAATTTTACAGGTGTGATCTGTCGCACCCAATTGTGACCGATCGTTATGAAAAACGATCGATGGGTTGCAACCTGACAGTTTTCGAAAATTTTGAAATTCAAGGGGTAAATGGGACTTTTTGGAAAATTTTTGTGAAGCAACCCCCATCCAAATGTGATTCTAAGATCAACTATGGTCCAAACCAAGAATAAAAAGTAAAGTAAAATGATGAAAATGCCCCCAAGTGCATGCAGTAATAAAAAGATAAAAATATGATACAAAATGAAATACTTTGCATACATTAAAAGTGTTTAGCTCTAGACTTCATTACATAAATGTTAAGTTGCATCAAAAGAGAGTGCTAAGGTACTTATTACACATATAAAAGGAAGCAAGGCATGCTTCTAATTTCATTACACATTGTCAACTTCAACAGATAAGTACATCATGCTAACACTTGTATGTTATAATCATACAAAAGATGTCCCCAAAATGAAAATGCAAGCCGAGCAATG